CGGGTGCGGTTCGCGCCCAGCCCCACAGGTAACGGGCCCCGGCGTGGCGTTCCCTGTGCGGGGCTCGCTGGCGGGGCGGGGGGGCTTTGCCCGCTTGCTGGAGGGAATCTCCCTCGTTTCGTCAAAGCCCTGCAGACGGGTCTGTGGCTTGTTCAGGTCTGCGCGCTCCGGGGTTGGGGCACTGTCCGTTTAAGCTACAATACGGGTAGGCCACAAACATTGATTTGAAAGTGTCCCGGTGCAGATCAGGGATAGAGACGCAGCCGTGTTAGTCTGGGGTAGCTGAAACAAAAGACAGGGCTATGTAGCACCTTAAAGACTAACAAGAGCTTTAATAAACCATCTTGTTAGTCTTTAAAGTGCTACATAGTCCTGTCTTTTCTGTCCGTTTAAGCTACAATACGGGTAGGCCACAAACATTGATTTGAAAGTGTCCCGGTGCAGATCAGGGATAGAGACGCAGCCGTGTTAGTCTGGGGTAGCTGAAACAAAAGACAGGGCTATGTAGCACCTTAAAGACTAACAAGAGCTTTAATAAACCATCTTGTTAGTCTTTAAAGTGCTACATAGTCCTGTCTTTTGTTTCTCCCGTGGTTTAAACAGGCCTGAGGCGGAGCTGAGCATGGAACTCCAGCTGCCAGCTGATGTTTCTGTGTCACAGAAATAGGTGCCTTAAAAATAACAAAGAACACAATCTGGCAAACTGTCCTGTCCGCTTGGGCCCCTTAGCCTGTGCAGAGCCCCACGGGCTTGAGTGTTTCTTGAGGGTGAGTGTTTTGTAATATCAGGGCCTAAAAGGGCTAGTCCTGTATGCTCAGTACTAGACACCGCTGTCTGCCAGGGATGTTAACATTTGGTTAAGCAGGTGACTGTAACTGCTGAAAATCTCAGCGGTTACTTGGTTACGTGCTGCTGGCTCTGCAGGATAAAGTTTAAATAAGCTTTATCCTGCAGAGCCCTGGGTGAAGCTCTTCCCTGGGAGCAGGATGGGCAGCTCTTGCCCACCTGGCTCCCCAGGGGAGGGGAGTCTGAGTGTAACCGACACTATTAACCGATAAGCATCAGCGTCTCAGTTAAATGGTTACTCAGTTACACTCTAAAATCCTTACTGTCTTCCTGTGAAAATATACCAGTGTTTGTTGATTTTTGTTTGTTTGTTTGTTTTCAGGTTCTCTTTTGCTAGCTTGCACCAAGGGCTTGTTAAATGTGGGTTGCAGGGGAAACTCAACTGAAATTAAACATTCATAAAAGCATCTCTGCTAGAGGTGATGCCTGACATTTACATCCTTCCAGCGGGGAAGGCTCCCAAAACCTTTTAAATACCTTTTAAAAATCTGCCTTTTATATCCACGCTGAGACACCCTCCCTAGATCTGTCTCATCACACTTTGCAACCAGTTGCATCTATTAAACTGCCTATGGGAATGTTGTATGTCAGGCCAGGAGTAGAACTTGCAGTGGTCTGCCCCAGTGTACAGTGTCCCAAAGAAAGATAAAGGACAGTTTCCTTCAGTTGTTACTAGAAGCTGTGCTTTGTGGCATCACTCCTAGCTGGCGGGATCAGTACAAACAGGCAAACGCTCGGGCAGCGTTGGCAATCTGCAAGCTTGTGTGAGATTACACAACCCACCCGCGATACCATTGGTGATGGCCCTTAGCTGGCCTGTTTGCTCTCTGATGCCTTGTCTGTAGCAGGAAAATGAACAACTGCTGATCATTTTCAATACGAGATCCCTTCACTGTTTGAGAGGAAGACCAAGGTTGCTCGTACCTTCCAGAAGGGTTGTGAGACTGGCTTTCTCCAGGGGACACTGTCCTTTAAACTGTGTTCAGCACCAGTTCTGGGGAAGCCATTTCTTCAGCACTTCAGCTTTAATGAAGCGTTTTAATGGCCTGTGTGGCCAAATGGCATTTCACTGCGGACCCGCCTTTCACTTTTACATGTAATAATGTGATCTGCTCAGTGCTATCACAAACAATAGCTGACAGCTCCTATGAAAAATCTCTTCTGTTGAGTGGATTTTATTTGGCCTGGCTTGCTCTACTTTTGCTCTTCTATCCCAGGCTTTTTGCACTTGGGCGGCCTTCGTACTGCTTTGTACAACTACATTTTTGCCAGAAAACACCAAGGGGCTTTTATCTTGAGAGTGGAAGATACGGATCAAAGTCGTGTGGTGGCTGGCGCTGCAGAAGGAATAGAGGATATGCTGAATTGGGCAGGTAACTTCCAAATCTGTACAGTTCACTTCTTAATTACTGAAACGACCTACACCTGTGATGAGACAGCTGTTAAATGAACCTCACTGAAATGCAAGGTTCCGTCAGCATTGTTCCTAGTGCAGTGGTCCCCAACCTTTTGGGGCTGCCGCGCACCCGAGGGCAGGGTTGCGCACGCGCCGTGCGCCTGGGGGCAGGGCCGTGCATGTGCCGTAAGCCCGGGGCGCAAGAATGGCTTCAGCCGGCTCTGATCACTCGGGCGCCATGACGCCCACAGGCACCGCATTAGGGACCACTGGTCTAGTGGTTACTGTAACAGGCTAGGAGCAGGTGAGTGTTTTTTGGTTTTCCTGTGCAGAAGAGCCCAGGCGTTTTGGTAGGGATGCATTTCTTTCCAGTTAGTCTATTTGGAATCATGGGAGGTTGGAGAAAAGGCCAGGAGCTGGAATGGAGAGAACTCAGCATGAGTTCATAAATTGTGTGCATGTAATTTGCGAAGAAAGAGTTGAATAGACTTTTTAGCAGGGATGATGTAGGCAGTGCTGGGTCCTGGTGTGAGGGCAGGGGACTGGACTTGACCCCTCGAGGTCCCTTCCAGTCCTAGTGTTCTAGGATTCTGTGTCTGAGGTGTGGGACATGTCTTAAAAGATTCAGACATCTGAGAGCGCTCCAGTCCGTCCTTTGCCTCTCCCTGTGTTCGGATGAATGTTAAAGCAGTTACATTATTGGGGAGAGCTTGGGAGGATGGTGTTACTCCAAATGCCAAGTACCCTGGCAATCAAATAACTTTTCAGTTGATAAAATAATGGGCTCTGAAATCTCAGCTGCATGTCTGTGAAGAGAGTGTAACTTTACCCCAGGAAGGTGTGCGCGTGCACAGACACACAGCGTGAAATGTATTAGATCTGCTCAAGTGTTTGCCAGTTTGTGATGGTCTCGCCTGCTGGTGGCTGGAGACCTGAAAGAGATTCTAACACTATTGATTTCATTGGAAGATTCCTCCCTAGCTCGCCTTGTAGAGTCCCATGCTGCACATGAGCAGAGCGCTCTGTAGATTCACTGTGCCC